CTGGATAACATGCCATTCCCAGACATGCCCTGGTTTCCCAGCTGCCACTTTTGCTCATAGTATCCCTGCTCTGACCCCGAGGAGGCTTTATATCCTCTAGCTGAATCTGCTGGCATCTTTTAATCAATCATATCACTATCTCATTGTGGTAACCAAGCCCTCCTAAAAAGTTTAGCCTGCCTCAAATTTTATTTTGTGTTCATGTCTCATCTCCCTTATGAGAATGTAAACTCCTTAAGAGTAAGGACCACGGCTAATTTGCATTTTAAAGTTCTACACAAAGGTCACCGAATAGAATGTCCAGCACATGGAAGATGCTCAGCAAATATCATGAGAGAAGATTAAAGGAAAGGTAACAATTTGGCAAAAATGCCTACCTGAGATGTTGAAGCATCAAAACCTCCACTGACATTTCCATTACAATCTTCGCATGAAAAGTGTCTGTCTTTGTTAATAGCACTAAAAGGCAAGAAATAAAGATCAACGTACATAGAAAATAAAAGAAGAGTAGATTAAAGAGACGATGTCCAGAAGCAGTGTGTGTGTGGGCAACAGCCATGGGCCAGGAGTCAGAGATCCTCTACCATATATACAGTAAATCCCCCCCCCACCACCAACACATATGAACCCTGGGAAAGCAACTTAATACCTTCAGGACTCAGTTCTCTCGTCTATAAAATAAGGGGATTATCTCTACAAAATTGAATCCTAATTCAAATTCTATGACATGCTTCCATAAAGCATTTGCTCAACTGATTAATACCACATTGAAATATGTTGGAGTTCCTGCCCTTGGGCTAGGTCAAGAAGTGGACATCAAACCTCACTTCCTTTAATCCCCTCAAAGTTATATAACATCTGGAAGGCTCCTACATAACAAGCTGAGACTTCTTGTCCATTAAAAACAATGCCCATTCAGGTCCCACCAGAGTCACAAAAAAAAAAAAAATTGCCCAGGCTGATGTAGTAGAAAGGCCAGGTTTGAATTACTTACAAGAAAGATTTTGAGTATTGTCTTTACTAAATTCCCAAGGTGACTGGTACAGCCAGAAATTGAGTTAGGGTTAGATGTCCAAAGAGAACAAGGCCTTCCTGGAAAGAATGCAGCCAATCCCCACCATCTAGCCTACGGAAAAGGCTTCGTGACTGGAAGTGAGAAATCTTAAGCAGGTCCAGTTTGGGGGTTTTTGTTTTTAGCAGCCAGAATATAAAGCAGCATTTCAGATTTACTTACCAACCCGAGTGTTTCATAGCATCAAGTAGAAGTTTGACATATGGATCTAGAAAGATATTGATTCAATTAAGTAAGCTAACTAGAAAAAGTAGCAGCAATTAAATGACCCAAATAGCAGCAAATTATCAAAAGGTAAATCATAATGAAGTAATACTACCTTAAAATTGGTAAAAACGGACATGAAAAGACAAGCTTAAATTAATATCAAAGTAAATCTTTTTTTTTTTTTTTTTTTTTTTGAGACAAGTGTCTCATTCTGCTACAGAGAGTGCCGTGGCATCAGCCTAGCTCACAGCAACCTCAAACTCCTGGGCTCAAGCGATCCTACTGACTCAGCTTCCTGAGTAGCTGGGACTACAGATATGCGCCACCATGCTCAGCTAATTTTTTCTATATATATTTTTAGTTGGTCAATTAATTTCTTTCTATTTTTAGTAAAGACGGGGTCTCACTCAGGCTGGTTTCGAACTCCTGACCTTGAGCAATCCGCCCACCCCAGCCTCCCAGAGTGATAGGATTACAGGTGTGAGCCACCACGCCCAGCCTCAAAGTAAATCTTAACTGAAACAAAACACTATTACCAATATCAGGATGGTACCACCAAGCACCTGTGACAATATCAAATAAGCTTTTTAAAGGTCATTTTTAGTTAAATGATCAAACACATTGTATTACAGTAGATATCAAAAGACTGAGGGAATTGTGGGCCACATCCCTACAAATGAACAACAAAACAGTATCCAGCTTGGAGGAAGGCAGTGGCCGCACTGTTCTCTGTCCTGGTCAGACCACACTGGGAACACCACATCCCATGCTGAGTCCCTGCCTCACTCTAAATGGGACCTTCCACTGAAAGCCCTTCCACAGGGATGGTGACTAGAATAGTACAGGACTCCTATGTTCAGTAAGAAGCAAGAAAGGATTTGGGGACTTAGAAAGGACCAGGACCACAGCACTTTCAAGTATTGAAGGGGTGGCTACATGGGCATAGATTCAGTCAGTATTTCTTCAAAGGGCAGAAGAGGGACCAAAGAGTGGAAATTACACGTGATAGACTTCAACACAGTATGAGAAAGGATTTTTCCAACAATTAAAGTTGTCGAAACAATACAGTAGACTCAAAGAACAGGTAACCTGTTCCAGGAGAGGTCTATGGGCTATCTGGTCAGTGATGGCACTGAGGTTTTCCTGTATGGGCACAGGGAGGCCTGGATGATATCTGGGGGCCTTCCCACTTCCAAGGCTCTATGAGCCTGTGACTATTACAAGAAAGTACAATGAACTCAAACACCTCTCATGCCAACTTTTCACAAAGGCATCTTTTCTGAGAATATAAATGCACAGCAAATTATATGACATAACCCAAAAAATAGAAAAAGAAAAGAAACCAAAGTTAAAAAAAAAAAACATTAAAAGCAAAAATAGGTGAGTAAAAGTAGTGCGAGATGAGAAAGTTAGATGTAGGTTACGGCTTTACTGACTCACCCTCTCTTAAGAGTGTGAACAGTAGAATAATTATTATTAAAAATAAGCATTATTAATTGAGTGTATACCAAGTGTCAGGCACCATATTAAGTGTATCATACATCACACAATTAAGAGAATTTTACTAAATTGATATAGTTTCAAAAGTCCATAGTCTCTTTACTTAAAAAAACAAAAAATGCAGGTAGCACAGTGGTTTGTCTTCAAAAAGGACCTGCAGCAGTATTTAGCATAAATTCACATTTAAGAAAAATAAAAGGTCTCTCATGAGGCCAGATTTCTCCCATCACCCCCTGCCCAGGATAGGATTTTAAAGTTTCAGATTGATGCTTTAATACCACCAACAGGCCCTCCCCTTGGAAGGTTGAGGCCGGTTGATTCCTACAGGGGCTAATATTCAGCACCCTATCACCCTATAGTCCTCACAGCCCACCTATTCAACTGTCCTCCACTGTGTGGCTCCACTGTAAAAACAGCTACCCTCTAGCCAGCTCCTGATATGTTGGCACTTTACAGTCATAAAATCTATTCCTCACACCCCCAAGAGAGGTATCTTTATCCCCATTCCCCCCCCCTTTTTTTACAAATAAGGATAAAGGGGATCCGGGAGGTTAAGTCACTCTTCCACACCTAAATAAGGAAAGGGACCAGCATCTGAACTCACATCTAACTCTGCAACCCACATTCTTTCTGCCGTATTCCACTTTGGAAACACCTTAAAGCAGAGTCCTTACTCTTCTTTGTATTTCCCCCCACCAGAAGCTAGCAGGCATTCAATACATATTTATACGGTCAATACAATGTCATCATTCTTCCACCCTTTACCCTCTATTCCTCTTCCTCCTCCCACCCCCCAAGAGTCTCAACATGCAGGTAATCCCCAAAAGGTTGGAAAACCTTGGGTGGTTGACTTTTGGACTGTGACTGGCCAGCTATAAAATAGAAACCTTGTTTTGGGCCAAGTACATTTAAGACTTTGATTGTATAAGTGCATCTGAAATATAAACTTAGGAAGTCTATGTAAACACAAAAGAGTTAAGAAATCTTTTCTAGTGCAGTGTTCCTGGGACTGGAGAGAACTGGGTATTTGTGTCCCTATTTAACCCACAGCAGTGGTTCTTAACCTCTTTGAGGTCGTTGGCCTCTTTGAGAATATGATGAAGCTATGCACTCTCTCCCCAGAAAAAATGCACCTAGACACATAAACATACAATTTCACAGAACTTTTCTGGGATTTTTACACTGAAGCCCATTTATGCATGAAGGTTAATACCCCCTTCCAATGAAGGGTAGCTTTGCACTGGCAGCAATATATGCCTTAACTCACGTGGCACTTTAAAACTCTGCCTCACCCTTACCCTAAAGTCACTGTGTTCCTGCAAAACTTACATAAGAAATCAGGGGATCTACCAGAGCATTGAGTGTAACCAAAAAGGGCAAACTCCTAGCCTGACTCCTCGATCATTCCACAAGCTAGAGAGTGCTGAAAGGGGCCTCAACGCCTCCTCTAATGGGGAAACTGAGGCCCAGGCCCTCAATCCCGCCCCCATGATGCCTAGAGTCTGCATCGAACGAGACCCGTCCAGCCCTGGGGGTGAACCTGCAGCCCCCCGGCTGAGCGGTGCGCAGGCCCTTCCCTGCCCACCCGGTCTCAGACACCACCCGGCGGACGCCGCCCAGTCCCCAGGTCACGGCTCCTACTTGTCTCCAGCGTCTTCAGCAGCATGAGCTGGCACTTCTGGTTGTGGGTGAGGAAGCTGAAGAGGAAACCCTGCTGGGGCTTCGCCTGGGCCAGCGGCTCGGGGAACACCTGGCGCGGGACGTGTTGCTGCAGCAGCTGCTCCCCCGCCGCGGGGCCCGGCACGGGCTCGTCCGGAGCCCCGGCCATGCCGCCAGCAGACCTGGCCGCCACTTCCTCCCGACTCGGGCGGCCGAGGTGAAGCTGGGAAGGGTCACCTCCCTCCCGCCAACCAACCCGACTGCCCAGGCCCTCCCTCTGCAGAGCCGACAGGCAGACGGGCGCACAAAGACGAGTAGAAGGGGGCGCAGGCCAGAAGGGGATCTGAGCCTGGCGAGGTAGGCCGGGCGGGGCGAGGTGAGAGGCAGCCAGGGGCCAGAGGCGCGGGGCGGGGCCAGAGGTGAGGGGCGGGGCCAGATGCGAGGGCGGGGCCAGAGGCGAGGGCGGGGCCAGAGGCGAGGGCGGGCGGGGAGAAGGGGCGGGGCTATCTCGAGGGGACGGGGCGAGGGGCGGAGTGAGAGGCGAGCGGTGGTGTGGGGACGGTGGGCGAGGTGCCGGCGGGTGGTTCTGGACCTGGCGATGACTTCGCAGGCGACACCTGCGCCACTGTGTACGTTTCTGCTGCCCCTCAGCGTGAGTGGCCGGGCCCCGTAAGCGTCGTTCTGCAGCCTCCTGCTGCCTTCCGAGCTAAGTGTGTCCGGCCTTCTCGTGGACACTTCCTCACCTCCTGGCCAATACTAGCCACTAAGTCCCCTCCTGCCGCTGAAGGTCTCTACCATCCTCCCACTCCCTGCCTTTCCCACCGGCCCACCACTTTCCTGACCCCTGCTGTCCCTCTGATCCACTCTACCCAAGGATGCCCCAGGCCATACTGAAAGCAGTGTTTTTCAGAAACGTTTGAAAACTAATTATAGAGAATGTCACATCAAAAACCTTAAAATATAGGACCTAACTATCTTTTTTCTGCCTCATCTGGACCCATTCGCCACCCTACTCTGTTGCCACCCCAAATAATTCTCTGATAGCAACACACACCCTGTTTACTTCTACCTCTAAGCCCTAATTCATACTGTTACTTCCATCTTTAACCCCCTTGCCTCAGTCCCTATAATTGGGGCCCATGTCAAATCTACCTACTCCACAGAGTATTCCCAGATACCTTAATCAAAATTAATGTCTACTGATCTCCCAGTGTACAAAGTACTTTGTACCTGTTAATCACTTTCATCACAGCCTGCCAGGCTTTATATACCTTGTGTGTTTCTCTTTTGCCACTAATTTTTTTTTAAACAGGGTCTTGCTTTGTTGCCCTGACTAGAGTGCAGTGGCATCATCATAGCCCACTGCAGCCTCCTACTCCCGGACTCAATTGATCCTCCTGCCTCAGCTTCCCAAGTAGCTGGGACTACAGGCACACACTATGACACCTGTCTAATTCCCATGAAATTATCAATATACAACTCAGCTCACACATTTATTCAGCACCTACTAATGGACCAGGCAGAGAGGACCAGGCAGGTCCTACTAATAGACCAGACTGAGGAAACAGATGAATAAGAAAATTGCTAAAGTTGAAGAGCAACATATGGTTTACTTCTAGAAAACACCTCTGAATAATACAAGCCCACCAGGCCTCAAGGATTATGAACAGTACCTCATGTGTCATAGGTGCTCAATAAGTATCTAAATTGGGTGGGATGCCAGGATTATTTATACATTTGAAATATAAAAATACAAACACCTCCTATGTACATAGATCGCTAAAGGCAGAAGTTTTAAAAAGTTGCTACTTTTTATTGAGCACACCTTAGATACATTATTTCTAATCCTCACTACAACCCAGCAAAATAAGTTTTATTATCCCTAATTTGCAAATAAAGAAAGCAAGCTCAGCAAAATTAAATCCAGGACCACACAAGCAGCTTTCAATCTAGAGAATTGAAATGTATATATATGGAAAACTAAACCATTACAATTTAGTGTAATTAGTTTGGAATATTAAAGAAAGGCTAGATGGAGAAGGAGGGGCCCAAAGTGGACCATAGCCTATAGACATTTTAAATACTATTTGAAATATTATTCAGCTACATGAATAAGCAAAAATGTGCAAGTTAAAAACTGCAATGTTTCCCTACCAAATTAACTAACACTTTAATACTTACTGATGAAGGAACAGAGAAAAAAGATCCATAGCAAAAGTGATTGTCTAGGTATTGGAATACTTTTATTATATTCTTGTTCATTTTTTTAATGCTCAGCAATAAGCATTATCATTACCTTTATAATCAGATAGATGAACTTTAAAAAATTGAGTGGGCTTTACATACCATGTCCAGCTTCCTCCACAAACAGTATAAACTTAGGGGTGGAAGGAGAAGGCATTAGGGGAGAGATAAAGAAGTACAAATACAAATGAGTCTAAAAGGGAAAAATAATTACCACAAAGAAGTGAGAGCATGGGCAAAGATTTAGCTGTAAGGATTTTCATTTCTCCACTGCAGCACTAATTAAGAGCAAAAAGTACATAAACTGTTTAAATGTCCAACAAGAGGCATAATGGAATGCATGCAAACATAAGTGGTTTTTTTTTTCAGTAAATACATTCATTAAAAGTTTTTTTAAGTTGCAAAACAGCATATACATTATGATTCCATTTTGAATTTTTATTTACTATGTGCATAGAAAGTATCTAGAAGACTGCTCCAAAGTGTTCACAGTGGTTGTCTCTGGGTAAATGGGATTTGGAAGTTTTGTGGTTTTTTGTTTTGTTTCATTTTGGTTTTGTTTGTTTTTTTTTTGTTTTGTTTTTTTTGCTTGCCTTCATCTTCTAAAACAAAAATAATTGCTTTTTTATAGAAAATAAGTTATTTAAAGTCATTTAAATCTATCACAGCAACAAATGAAGTTATGTATAATTTTTAAATGTTTACCACCTTTCAGCTGATTATATATATTGGGTCATTTTTGTCATACCCAACTAAAACAGAGTCAAGATGCCAGAGAGAAAAAACACTCAGGGTGCAAAATATTGCTCCAAGAATATATTAATAATTCTCTGCCAGCCTGGCTGCTGAAACTGCTTGCTATCACCTAAATCCAATTTTATCTATGACTACTAAAACAACCTGCTACAACTCTAAAACTAATTTTACCCACCACCATCACTCACCAATCAGAACTTGCCAGCTCCCCAAAACCTTATTAGTGCCAATAAACTTTTTTGAAAAACAATGCATAACATTTCTCCTTTTTATAAAACCTCTAACCCTCTCTTTGCTTCTTCAGACATCCCAGTTTGCATATATGCCCCAAATAACAATTCTTTCTTCCCAAATAAAACATTTTAATTTTAGACATTTGTCTCTAAATTTGATTTGATTTTGACATCCTTGGTTTCAGAGACAGGGTTCCAAAGCTGACACTCACACCTTGAAGAGAATCACCAGCCCCTGGAACTAGGGCATGAGGTGCCCACACTGGTGCCCTGTGAGGCCCTACTTCCACTAGTCACCTCTTTTCCCCTTAGTGAGTCTCTCTTGGACTGAACTCTCAATTTTGGTCAAGTTTTGTTTTACTTGGGACTTGGTGGGGAGCGGTCTACCCCATTCCTGTCTGCTCTGGTTGGGAAATCTTCTACTTGAGAGGACTCTTCTCTTTGCAGACCTGAGCTGTGGGTCTGGGTGAAGGGATTTTTTTTTCCCTTTAGGTTGAGTTATCTTTCCTTTTCCTTCAGTTGGAGAAGGCAACTTACCTTGGTGAAGATACACTTTATTTTCCATCTGCGCTTACATTTACTTGCCCTTTACATATTCAGGACTTGCATTTAATTGACTTTTGTATATCTGACATTAAACCAGAGCACCCACAAAATGGGCTTTCAAAATTTAAGACATGCCTAAATATTGTCTGACTCCAACTAATAACATATTCAAACATTATAAAGATTATTCAAAGTCTTTAATAGACTTTCTTAGACTTTAAACTAAAAGATGAAGCTATAAAAGCACACATCTCACTAATACCTTAAGACTAAAAAAACCAAAACATTCAGGACTCAAAGATTGTCTTATTATAAAATACTGTCTTAAAACTAAAACTCTTTCCTCTGTAGAACTTTCTGCTCCCCTTACAATTCCTCCTCTTTACTCTTCTCTAAACTCTTTTACAAAACTCTTCAACTATTCTGACATGCTATTTAAATAAAACACTTAAAAACTAACAAACATTTTTATAAATCATTTTAACTTTCATGCTTTTTTTAAAAAACAAAGATAAAATTCCCATATAAAGACAATTTCCCTATACTAAAAGACATTTTTATCTTCAAAGATAAAAAAAATATTAAAATCAGAAAAATACTATACAGACTTTACTAAAATAACGTTTATTTATTTATTTATTTTAGAAACAGGGTTTCCCTCTGTTGCCAAGGCTGAAGTGAAGTAGTGCAAACACAGGTCATGGAAATCTCTGATTCATGTCGGCAAACCATTCTCCCGCCTCAGCCTCCCAAAAAAATTGGGATTACAGGTATGAGCCACGCCTGCCTCCCCATGACATTTTAATTTATTTAATTTGCCTTTACACTAGGCTCTATTTTTTCTTTTTTTTTTGGTTTCTTCCCCCAGAGATGGAGCCTCACTCTGTCAACCACACTGGAGTGCAGTGGCATGATCATATCTCACTACAGCCTCCAACTCCTGGGGTCAAATAATCCTCCTGCCTCAGCCTCCCAAGTAGCAGCTGGGACTACAGTCGTATACCACTATGCCTGGCTAATTTTTTATTTTTTTGTAGAGATGGGGTCTTGCTTTGTTGCCCAGGCTGGTATTGAACTCCTGGGCTCAAGTGATCCTCCCTCCTTGGCCTCCCAAAGTACTGGGATTACAGGCATAATTTGGCTCTTAATTCAAAACCATTATACAAACTAAATGTAGTCTATTATTTTTTATTTTTGAGACAAGGTCTCACTCTTTTGCCCTGGCTGGAGTGCAGTGGCCTGATCATAGCTCACTGCAACCTCAAACTCCTGGACTAAAGTGATCCTCCTGCTTCAGCCTCCCAAGTGGCAGATAGGACTACAGTTGCACACCACTATGCCTAGCTTATTTTATTTTTTGTAGAGACAAGGTCTCGCCATGCTGCTCTGGCTTGTCTCAAACTCTTGGCCTCAAGTGATCCTCCCACCTCAGCCTCCCAAAGTGCTAGGATTACAGGTCTGAGCCACTGTACCTGGCCTTATTCTATTATTCTTATTCATTTTTTATATTATAATTTTTAAACTTAATTCTTATTATCTGTCTAATATTTATAAAACCAACTCTTCCTAACAGAGTAATATTAACTCAATGCCTCAAGCTATAATGCCTATATATAATACCTATATAATGTCTATAGACTAATAAGATAAATAATAGATTCCAAACAAATCTACCCTAAAAAATTTTTTCATTCTGGCCTCTTTGTTACTCAAATATAGCCCAAATGCCTGACAGGGAGCCCCATCACCTCCCCCAACATGAGACAAAGACCACAGAGACAAGCCCAGCCCAACACCAAGAGACAATTAAAGCCCTCAATGCAAAATAATCAGCACTTTGGGAAACTGAGGCAGGAGGATCGCTTGAAGCCAGGAGTTTGAGACCAGCCTGAGCAACATAGCAAGACCACCATCTCTACAAAAATAAAAAAATTAGCCAGGCATGGTTTCGCCAGCCTGTAGTCCCCACTACTTAGGAGGAGGCTGAGGCAAGAGGATCACTTAAACCCAGAAGTTTAAGACTGCAGTGAATGAGCTATTAAAAGATCACACCACTGCACTCCAGCCAGGGAAACCTTGTCTTTAAAATAAAAATAATAGTTATTCAGTGATACTTTCAAAAAAAAGATCTTGATCCAAAAAAACATGAAAGCTGATCATACAAATTGAGTCATTCTTGGCATACCCAACTAAAATACAGTTGAGAAGCCAGGGGGAAAAACACTCAGGGCACAAAACATTGCTCCAAAAATATAATTTTCTATAATCCTGACTGGTAAAACTGCCTACTATAACCTACAACAAATTTTATCTAATGACTAATAAACTACCTGCTACAACTCTAATTTCACTCACTGTAGTCACTCACCAATCACAGCTTGCCAACTCCCCAAAACCTTATAGTGCCAATAAACTTTCCTGAAGAATATGTAGCATTTCTCCTTCTTACACAACCTCTAATCCTCTCTTTATACTTCAGACATACCAAATACCACCTCGTCTACATGTATGCCCCAAATTAGTTCTTTCTTGCCAAATAAAACATTTTAATTCAAAACTTCATTTCTGGGCCAGGCGCAGTGGCTCATGCCTTTAATCCTAGCACTCTGGGAGGCTGAGGCGGGTGGATTGCTAGAGGTCAGGAGTTTGAAACCAGCCTGAGCAAGAGCAAGACCTGTCTCTATTATAAATAGAAAGAAATTAATTGGCCAACTAATATATATAGAAAAAATTAGCCGGGCATGGTGGCGCATGCCTGTAGTCCCAGCTACTCAGGAGGCTGAGGCGAAGGAATTGCTTGAGCCCAAGAGATTGAGGTGCTGTGAGCTAGGCTGACACCACAGCACTCACTCTAGCCTGGGCAACAAAGCGAGACTCTGTCTCAAAAAAAAAAAAAAATTCATTACTGTATTTCCACTTCAACACAGATTTTTAACATTTAAAGCTATTTTTTATTTAATTGGCAAATAAAATTATATATGCTTGTAGTGTAATGTTTTGAAATATTTCTACATTATGGAATAGCTAAATAAAGCTAACACATGCACCTTTCAGCTTTTCAATCACTAACGTCTTATCTATTTGTCAAAGCCAACGAATTTTCGTGAGATTAAAGCTTTTCCTTAGCTTGCACTCCATTTTAATAGTGTTGGAAACAACAAAACAGTCTCGACCAAGCCTCCCCAAACTATACCACATTTTGTCTAGTAACCCCACGCAACCAGGAAACGCGCCGCACAGGCAAGTGCCCCCTTCCGGAAGAATTCGGGCTTCAACCCGGAAGTGAAGAGCGAAGGCGCGCAGTATTCTGGGAAGAGTTACGCTGGCGAGTTTGAGGTTGTTAGCTGTTACCCGGGGAACCGGAGGCGATTGACAGTTATCTGCGGTTTGGGCCGTTAGCGAGAGAGGCTGAGATGCTCAGAGATCTTTTGCGATGAGCGACAGGGTCATGAGACACCTCTTAAAAAGAAGACTGTTCTAACCAGGAGGTTATCCGTGGTTCCCCGCAGTAGAACTGCCGGACCTGGGCATCTGGTCGCGCCCTCTTGTTTTTGTTGAGTCAGTCTTTTAGAGTAAATGAAGTGTGGCCCAGTAGCTCCTCACGTCTCTTCTCTAGTTTCTGCCTCCTTTTCGAAAATGTAAGTTGAGTTTCTAATTTACATCTATAATGTGCGCTAATGTGCTTGTTTTTAAAATTATGGAAATAAAAAAGAAGAAAATAAAATTCATCCAGCTACACAGAAGTAACCAGCTACATGAAATAATTTCATGTATTACCTATCATTTTTCTCTCTGTATAAATATTTTTGACATAGTTGAGTTGCTTTGGGGATAACCATTTTGTGTCCTGCTTTATAAATATAATATATATAATATAATTTTGGTATTAAAATCTTAGCAACAGTGAAGTCATTGAAGACCTTAATGTAAATCTGTTGCAGTGAATTGAAAAGACAGAGATGAAGATGAAGTGGATGGGCACGTGGAGACAATTCTTTCAAGAAGCTTTGGCTGTAAAGGAAAAAAGAGGAGGTCAGTAGCCAGAGGAGAATGGCAAGTGAAACAAAGAAATGTTATTTTC